AGCAATGATCACGACGGAAAGAAACTAATTGAAAATATTCTGAGGCAGTCGCGATAATGGACCGTCTAGGTACCCAAGTATGCAAGAATCTTAACGCAAAGGCATAAACCTTATTTGAAGAAGGAGAGCAAATGTTCACAAGACCGAAATTATTTTTCAACCAATATTTGGCTTTTGTTTACAGCCCTTTTTTACCGCAGGACACTATGAAACACAGCTATAGTGACGATATATGAGCAAAACCGGGAACCTCAGTTGTGCCTCGAACCCGTGTCTACCTTTCCTGAGGGTTCATGTGTTGTCCACTGCACTATCTAACCCCTTGCTTTGCCTCGTTGGTAGCACTGTTATGCCGAAAAACTGGTTGAGGGAAAGGTAAAGCAAAAGACTAGGAGGTGAAGCGGGTAACACATGAGCCTCCGGAAAGGGTTATCATGGGTTCGAATCTGGTTTAGGGCCCAAGTTTTGCGGATATCTTAGCATCATTGTGGTTATTCTCTGAATAGTTAAATTTAAAAATTTAATGTTTAACGTTTTGTTTTCTGCCTTCTATAATTTTCATGGCAGGTTACTAAGCGAAATACAACCACAACGTTGCTGAGATATTTGCAAAACTCTGGAGCACAGGTGTCTATGGTGGGGAACGAACGCGCTATCATCCTTTCCGGGGAGTAACGCGTTCACCACCACACCATGCGGGTCCTTCGTTTCGCCTGTCTCTCAGCTATTTCTATCGATAGCTATTTTGCAAATATCTCAGCAACGTTGTGGTTGTATTTCGCTTAGTAACCTGCCATGAAAATTATAGGAGGCAGAAAACAAAACGTTAAACATTGTGATTTCAACTACAGCCATAGCTTAACTGGGTTCTATATACACATATATGTATATATACATATATATACATATGAACCGCCTTCACTGATGCGGGCCCAAGCACAATTTTCATTCCTCTCTTTCTTGCCCATTCATCGTCTGTGGCTGTAGTCCCTTTCGAACATGGTGGCGTTCGCGAAGTCCCCTCTATTGCCATGAAGCAGTTCCCATATGCCAACGCAGATGGTTAACTTTAACTATGAACACGTCTGCCCAGCATTTAGGTGGTCGCCTTCGCCCTCGGAGCTTATGCATCACCGTGGAGTATGCTCTACAGCTCTTAGCGTTCATTTGTCATCTGTTCTTCTTATTACGTGACTCATCTGTGCGCAGATATAGTCATAGCCCATTTTCCTGAATCCCGAATATAGTATGGGATTCGAAGTTTTGTGCTGTCCATCACGGCTGAAGGTTTGTGACTGTCGGTTGAATTTCAGAAAACATCGTTCAAGCGCTTTGTGGTTGTGTTCAGAGTTTTTGACGTTCTCAAAGTATCATCCTACTTTGTTGCATAACAGAGCGCTGGGAAAACTGTTCAGTTAAAAAGATGGGCACGGAGTTTTGGGTTTAGTTAATTGGTGGCTACTTTGAAAAGCCCGATGTACGATTGATGCTGCTTTTCGTACTTTTATTAACTCTTTCTTCTTGTTTTTCTATGTTTTCTCTGAAGGCCCAGGGAACGTTACGACGGGATCTCTGTTAGAGAACCATCTGGTTCGATTTGTTCGCCTTCGCACGATGAATTCCTCATGAAGGAAAATCGACTCGGATCTGATCGGCTCTATTGAAGACAAAGGCATTGAAACATTAACTGAATAGAAGTTCTGCAACGACCTCGTGCAAGCTGGACAATCCAAAGAAATTCATATGCATATATTTCAAAACCCACTTTCCTTTATTCTCGGTATGACTAGTCAACATGTATTCCTTCATTGATAAGCTAATAAGATGTTATTTGAAAAAACTTTGTTCGCCTAACGTAAGAAGGATTGCCCGGAAAAAAATAAGCTGCTATCAATGGACAATCGCTGTCAACAAAAGCAGTTCTGTGTGGAAAAGCAGTGCAGAGAAGATTCTTCATTCGAGCGGTGGCGCATTGGATTCGACACAATGCGATCACGAGGACCCACTTCGGAAGAAGGAAGAGCTGTGAACAACAGGCTGGAGAAAATTTTGCTCCGAGGTAGGGAAAGGCGCCGGAACGTTTGCCGAGTAAAGATTCTTAACCACATCGTGTTAGCTTATCAGTGAAGGAATATATTTACGCATATATGTGCATTTCGTATCACTTTTATCAGCCGTCGCCCCGTCCACCGCTAAGTGACTCGAGCTTGGGCCAGTAAACCTTCCATTTTATTCTTCATATTCTTGTTGAGCAAACACAATGTGTTATTTCAATTTTTTCACGAATAAGCTGACGTTTCGGAGGATTTCGCCTTCCTCAGAGCCTACCCACTATTCCCCTCCAGAGGTGGTCCTCCAAATACTGAGCACAAAAGTTTGCCTTCGACTCGAACTTCTTCCACTTGGCGAATAACTGGTTTTCTCGGCTTCGTAGGCAGGTGCGTAGTATTCGCAAGGCTTTTCCTCTAGCGCATATGGTAGCACTGGCTATAACCACCTCGAACTTTGTCTCTTAAGAATTAGGTCCTTGTCCGATTCAACGTGGCTTGAGCGTTCGACTTCCTCGCTTGGAAATCCGTAAAAGAGTGAACACGTAGCATTGCAGTGCCCAGAGTGCTCTTCGTGATTACATTCGCTGAGAACAGTATCACTTGCAGTCCCGTTGATCATCGAGTGACTCGAGCGGGCACCAGTAATTCTTCCATTTTCCCTGTCGCGTGCAAGAGTAGCCCAGTGCGTTCTTGCCACTTTAGGGGCTCGTTGAGCATCATAGCTTTCTTCTAGGCTCCTCGTGGAGAACTCTGACCATCGCGTCGCTGGTCTTCCTGCAGTACGTTTGACATCCCGAGGAATCCAGTCACTAACGGCTTTTGTCCATCGGCTGTCATTCATACGCATTACGTGCCCGGCACACCTTATGCTCGGCAGCTTGGCGTACGGAACGGCATCTTTGATTTTTGTTCGTTGACGCAGGTCGGAGGTTCGGTTCCCATCCACTACTTGTGTAGGACGGGATACTCCTAGTATTGTCCCTTCGAATGCGCGTTCAATAACGTTAAGTGATTTTTCATCCTGTTTACGCAGCGACCAGGTTTCTGACGCATGCGCTAGGGCAGGAAGTACCGTTGAGTCGAAAAGGTGGGCACGGATTCGGGTGTTCTTTGTTCTCTTCACTACATCCTCGATGCTTTTGAAAGCTCCCCAAGCCGCTCGTTTTCTTCTGCTCACCTCTGGACCTATGTCGTTCATTATATTGATTTCCCGACCTAGATAGATATAACTGGAGCGTTCAGAGATATTCGTTCCGTTTAGCGTGAATGGGGCCTACGAAACTAATCCGTTACTCATAAACATCGTTTTTGTGAGATTTAATCGAGGGCCAATCTTTCCACAGGCTTTATCAAAGTCATCAAGTATACGTTCCGCTTGGCTAATGTTTGCTGTTATAAGCACGATGTCATCAGCAAAGCGAAGTTGGTATAACTGCCGACCGTCGATTTTCACTCCCATAATATTCCATTCCAATGTTCACATGACGTTTTGGAAGGTGGCGATAAATAATTTTGGTGAGATGGTATTGCCTTGCCTAACTCCTCTTTTAACGTCAATGTTAATATCGTTGTAGAATGGTGATATCTTGGTTGTGAAATTTTTGTACAGCTCACGAAGAATCCTTATGTACTGAGTAGACTCCTTGACTATCAAGGGCTTCCAAAACTGATACCACAACTGAGTCAAAAGCTTTCTTTAGATCGATGAAAGTGAGGCAAAGTGATCTCTTGTACTCTTGTGATACTTCAGTGAATCTTTGTTTTCGTGTGGATGTAATCGATGCTGATGAACGTTCGATAACTAGACGACTTGAAGAGTTGAAAATGTGAACGGCTCATTCAAGAGACCATGTTCTGTTTACAAGAGTAACTTCTTTAAAATTATAGCTTCGAGAGGAAATGAGGACAAAATCCGAATGTTCAGAGTTGCAAGAGATATCCCCGAATCCAAAAAAATAACGTCAAATTTGAGATGTCATCGCGCTCTAGGAATCGAAATACCTCTGATCCGGCCGCTCTCATTTGCAAAATACAAGCTCTCTCGAAGAAAAAAGGACACAGAATGTGCTTAAAAGTTTCTATAAAATCAGAAATTCATCGTCGTAAAACAATTTAGTCTTTAACCTGTAGGCAAACACTTGCAAAATCCAATCCTTTCTGTATAATCGATAAAGTTCACTTTAACTGAGATGTATTCGTTTGAAGCTGAAATCAGCTGTTATTCTCGCACCATGTGAGTGGAAATCAATTCACATCGGTCAAAAGTATTAATGCATGGGCTAGACTAAGTATTCATTAAAAGCACTAATTTAATAGGTTGAAGCGAAAACAGAAAACTGCTCTTAATTCGTACCCTCTGATGGCAATCCACAGTCGAATTTTCTCTGCGTTCATTCCTTTTCCGCCCATTACAATGATTACATCTTACATTTCCAGTTAATCCGTTTCTGTAAATTTCACATCTCAGCGTGAGATTTGTGTTGACAGCACTTCACAAGTATTCGGTGGAACTACAATCATTGTCCTGGACCCGGATGGTGTAGTGGTGAAGTGCGCTGCTCCCCGGTAAGGACAACAGCGCGTGTTCGTTCCCCACTGCATACACCTGTGGTCCGGGGTTTTGCAAATATCTCAACACTTCATACGAGCTAAAATACAGTGTATTTGCAAGACTTGGACCCCACACGAGGTTCGAACACGCGATTATCCTCACAGGGACCTTCCAGCCCCAAATTTTGCAAATATCTCAGCACCATACTGGATGTATTTCCCATCGTACACTGCCATAAAAAATAATAACAGGTAGTGAATAAAAAGTAAACAGTCAACTCAAAGATTTATGCCAGCATCTATTTCGACTCAAGAATTCTCTCAAAGAGCTTTTGAATTAAAAACAACTTTAAAGACATCAGAAAAGTCGAAACCTTATTTCACACCTCGTTAAATTTCTTAATAACCTGGAGCGAGTCTCGCCGGTGGACAATGATCACACGATCCTGGTGCACCACTGTCTCCAGTTGCTCCAGGCTGTCCGGGCGGTCCATTAACACCTGGTTGTCCAGGCACTCCTGGCATACCCGGTGGTCCTTGGGCACCAGGTTGACCGTCACCACCAGGTTCTCCGGGAGCTCCGGGTTGTCCTGGTGGTCCAGGACGACCAGGTGCCCCAGGGCGGCCAGGTGGACCTATTTCGGTCTTGTACGTTCCGGGTTCACCTGGTGGTCCAGGTCGGCCTGTGGGTCCGGGAGGTCCAGGCATACCAGGGTTTCCGCGTGGTCCTTGATCTCCTGGCTTTCCGTCTTCTCCAGGAGCACCTGGTGGTCCAGGAGGACCATCCGGACCTTGCTGTCCTTTCGGTCCAGGATCACCTGGCGGTGCTTCGCATGGGCATTGTGGTGGGAATAATGACGTCGGTTCCGGACCAGGTGGAGCTGGCAAGCCAGGTTGTCCAATGTCACCCGGCATTCCATCTATTCCATCTATTCCGTCTCTTCCAGGATCTCCAGGTGGACCTGGTGCTCCACGATTGCATGTGCAACCTTCAAAAAAAGCTATTAAAAAGTGAGTGTAGGCTTTACGGCTAGTAAAATCATTACATATTCTTTCATAAATTGATCACTAACAGTAAATACTGTGGGTAATAGAATGATTACTATCTAAAACATGCTTACATCCCAGTGTTCTGCCACCCTGTGTGGACGATTCGATAGCTGCCGTACCACCCTCGTATCCAACCGGTTCGTCGCGAAGTTCTTGGTCGTGAAGACGCCGTGCCCAAAAATCGGCAAGAGTGTCCCTGAAAGCCTTCATCTCCGCATTAATTTTTACAAAAAGCTCAGTGAAAATGCTAAAAACGAGTTGTTCTAAGAAAGATCTGCTACGTTGCTGATATTTGATTCGGAACGCTGCGTTTCTTCGAGATGCAAAAAACCTTTTCTCAAGTCTTCTTTGATTCATCACAATATCGGCCAACTTCGCTACATCACGTTTGCCACCGGTTTCGATATTCAACATTTCTTTCCACATGTCACGGGCACGGACCTAAAACACTGTTGACTCCACTGGTTAATCAATACTCGCGAAACTCATTAAAGTGCCAGTTATATAGAAAATCGACCAGTATATATTCCTTTTCCGTACCACATCGAGTTGAGTGAAATGAATGAATGCTACTGAATTAAGTATTGTCTGACAACCATGTGTTCCCCAGTGACAATTCGGAAACTTCAAAAAGGGCAAAGAAAGCCTTTAGCAGCTCGCACCAAAGTCTGAAGCAACAAAACACCTTTCAAGTGTGGAAATGGAATAGAGAGATCCACTGGAAGCGATTTAAAGCTCCTTATGGTTTACTATGAAATGATGCCAAATAAAGGTCGTGCAGATCTTCGAATTTCTTTCGTAGTTCCGCAAAATACTTCTAGACGGCAAAGAAACCTGGGTCTTTCTTGACTATGTAAACCAAGTTGTCCTTATGATAATTGCAGGCCACCGAAGAAAATCTTTCAACGTAATGACCAGTATGACAAAAGTCGCGATTGTAAGTGCAGAGTTTACAGTACATGATCAATGTCTCCTAATTACATATTACACATATATTTCACAACGAGTAATATTTTGTTCCACACGCGCTGTGAATTTAAATCGACTCATACTGTCCAAAAGTTCAGTCATGAAGGAAATCCATCCGCGTTTCTTGTATTGTTCCTCTTATAGTTTGGTCTTTTGCATAATTCCAGTGTTTATTTCTATGACCAACGCACCACATGTCGACGCATCCATTACTTTACTATTTTGAAATATTACCATCTCTTGAGTGGGATAGAAAGATGGCTAGCCGATAATCCCATCAGAGCATCATTAGCATCTAGTAGGTTATCTCACAAGCTATGTTGAGCAGAGCTCATTTTTTCAGCCTTTTTTAAATCCACGAATGTTTGGAAATAATTGAATAGAGAACCTGTAGTGTACCTAATAACGCACTGTTTAAGAGCACAATGGAACGTCAGCGTACCTCCTGTACCAGCAATGTGATATCCTAGTACTTTTTTCAACAGTAGCGGTCTTTAAAAAAGGAAGCAGAGTGGTATGAAAATCATACTTTTGCAAATTACAGCTTGCAGAAAATGGCCTTTCTAGGCCCACTCCAAGTAAAATGTCTTATGGGTGGTGGGAAAGCCGCGAATACCAAAACTACAGTCTCGTTGCGAAAAAGTAAAACATGGGAATAAATACGAGTAGAACTCAATTCATGCCGGCCGATTTGCATATGCAGATGAGTAGACGTCCACTTACATCATCGCAAATGTAAAAAGGCGATCAGTACTTACATGTCACCAAGTTTTTGACCTCGCATGGATGTGGCAGTGAGGAAGCAAGGAAAATTTTAAAATTTCGTATTTTGAAAATTTATTGCAAGTTATTGGTTTCTAAATGAAAAATCTTTGTGTATCAACTGTTCGTTTCGAAGGTCGCAGCTGAACTTAATCGCTCATTCCTATTATTACTATTATTATTATTATTATTATTATTATTATTGCTATTACTTTTACTGCTATTGTCATTACTATCATTTTCCCTTTAGAGCTTTTCACCACTTAAACAAAGCCAAGAAAAAAAAACATTTTATAGTAATTACACCTATCTAAATACCCTAAAGCTTCTTCTTTACTATAATAGTTTTTATTTCAGTTGGTAGCTTGTGCAGTTATTTTTACTCGCTTCAAAGCAACCTCAGTATTTCCTTCCTATGAAAATTGTGGTGATAAGGATTCTTCTCAGTAGAACGCTTCATGTTCAACAAAATCCGCTTGTCACAACCAAATGCCCTTTTCCATTATTTTTTCAGTCACTCCTTAATTCTCATTTTTTTTGAACATTTTCATAAGATAATCGCTCTTACTTGGCAGTATTCCAAATCTAGTTGTACTTGTGATTCCAGTGTTTGCACATAATGAAGGATCATTGGGAACGTAAGAAGACAGCTCGTCAGTGCCACCGTCGAAAAGACGACAGCCGCGAATGCGACCGGTCGAAGCGATGCGCGTTCCTCTTCTTTTCCGGACATCAACTAACCTGGAAGTGAGTACTTATTTTTTTTAGATTTGGGCGTGAAAACTTCGGATTAAAACGACGAACTCAAAGGTGGAATTACTGGGGCTTCAAAAAAATCTCTCTCTGAAGACGATTATTAAGCGGAAAGTTTTTTAACGTCTTTTCTGTGTACTGCAGTCGAACAGTGTCAGTGACGAAGCACTCTAGTGTTTTGATTATTCCGTTTCAAAACAAAGAAATATGCAATATACAGCATCTTTTCCTGCCAGGTTTCCACAAGATCTCAAATTCTGGTAATCTTAATGTACCAGAAATATTTCTGAAAAACTTTCAAATAAGTAAAAAAATCAGAAACATGAAGGGAGGCTGTAGTCGAAATTGCAATTTTAACTTTTTATTTACTGGCTATTACAATGTTTGACAGCAGGTTATTATGTGTGATACAACCACAATGATGCTCACCATTAGCTGAGAGAGGCGAAACGAAGGACCGGCATGGTGCGATGGTGAATGCGTTAACCCCCAAAAAGGGAAATAACGCGTTCGTTCCCCACCACAGACACCTGCGGTCCGGAGTTTTGCAAATATCTCAACCTTATAAAGGGGAGTATTTTAATCAGAACAACAGCAATCGCGGTGTTGTTAAACAACATACGTTTACTTCCATACAATAACACACATGCAACACAACCGTAGCTCACGTTTCGGTGGAATCGTCTTCTTCAGAGCCTGGAAGGGTACACTAATACACAACTTACTAGATCAAGAGAACAACAACGTAAGCACAAATGACCATCAAAAACACCTCTTCTACCATATCAAACAAAAATATTGAAAAAAGTAAACTCTCATGAAGCTTACAAAATCCACAAGCGAAATCTGATTCCACTTTGATTTTAAGTCCTTAATAAACACCTTTATAGAACTGCGCCAAATGAAAGTACTCCGTAGTTTTAGAAAGATAGTAATCAATTTGGGAAAAATCCCTAGTACAAAGTTAAATAGTGTTTTCACTAAGACATTTCGAAGAACTTTCCTTGATCTTAAGATCCGTAGGAATTTCACCGAATCACTTTACTTATTTTACACAAAATTAAGCGTAGGAAAAACATTCGTAACTTTGATTTTATGCAACAGAGGCTAAGAAATACATCTAACCCTTAAAAAGCGCTGTTATGTCAGGCACAAACTGATAAACTTGTCCAAAATTAAGCTTTTACTAAGAAGGATAGAAAGGTTTTGAAGACAAAATCACCCACAGAATACCGTATAATCAACTTCTAGTGGGTTAAATAACTTAGTGAATATATAAAGGCAACGGGAACACACATACATAGACATATATTCATATATATATATATATATATATACATTCGTATGTATACTGGCATAGATATGTACTTATACACGTATATCATGCACATACACCTTCATAGGAATGATGCACACCTATACGGCCTAGAAAGCGAGTTTCGAAAGAGGCGATTAGACATCGGCGGCTAGTTGACGGGCCTCTTATATCCAGCTCTAACTGGTCTTCGTGTTCCACCATTTTGTACACCTCGTCACCCGTCTGTCATCTCTTCGAATCGCTCTACATGTCATCGGGTTACTTCGTGTCTGCAACTCGATTCTCAGCAACATTTCACGATGAACGTCTCTCATCGTCAAGTTGTAGGAAAACAACAAGACGACTACGGCGACATCAACGACGCAGACGACGCAGACAACGACTGCGACGGTTGCGACGGCGACGTTTTAAGGACGTCACAGCAAAAACAGTAACAAGCAGAAACGAGCTCACCGCCACCAGTTATCGAACGCGACTTTTATGAAATGCCTCTGCAATGGAGGAACCTCCTCAAAACGGCATCAATGAAATCGATTTTAAGAAAAGGTTGACCTAACAACATAACAGTGAATATTGTGATGCTTGTTTATATTGCTGAGCTCCTCCCAACGGTTTGCCGACTCATAGTGGCTGGGAGATGTTCCTTGGTGTCCTCCCTATTTAAACTAATACCAGAATCCACCACCGTTCTGGTATCAAAGTCGCATGGTGGCAAATCTTCCTTTGGTCCACAACGGCTGCGACTACCTGTGGTGGTGAAGACCCGGGGCAGACTTTGGTCAGGCTGACCTCTAGATTCCAGTGAACCACAATGGCTTAACCAGCAAACCTCCGAAAAACGGAGATTACGCTGGGGCCCGCACAACCAGTGAGGACGGGCTAATCAGGTATCAAATAAGTATTGTTGAGCTTACAACAGGTTGATACGATATATTTCTTCGTCTAACATTTCGACGTCTTCGTTCCCATCAGAGCCGACGATACTTGTCGATGGTCCACAGCTGTCTCTTTTAAATGGTTAAATGACGGTCGATTTCAAAAATATTGTGGTAGCTATATGTGGCATATCGAATGGAAGTTTATCAAAACCTGCTACTCTAAGTTATCGAAGGTAAGGTAGCGTAGCTTAATAATGTGTGGTAGAACATCAACGTATAACTTTTCCGATGATTTCTTGATGAAAAAAGACCGAACATCGAGATTTTGTAGTATTTTTGTACAACTCAGTTCATTAATCACTTCAATTGACTTGGTGTAAAATTAGACTATAAGCGTTTCTTCGTTAACTGTCCTTTAACATATAGAGCTCAAATTTGAATATGTTTGGAACTAAAGCCAAAAAATAATAACGACGTAACAAGTTTTCGAAATATCTGATAGAGGAGCCGAAAACCTAAACGATACATTGGGAAGCACTATATTTGGCTAGTGGCGCGCGTGGCGCAGTGGTCGGAGGCGCCGTGCAACACACACGTGGAATCGATGCCCGCTCCCATGGCCCACGAAGCTTTTCATCCCTCCGAGGTTGGAAAATTGGTACCAGACTTGTCTGGGAGGATACCAGTACTGGCTCGAAACATCGGTAGGCCACCGCGAGTCATTGTAAAGGCCAGATATGAATTCAATCACCTCCAACTATACTTAATGAAGTCGAATGGATGGCGCATCCCTCAGGGATTGATCAACGCTGAGAGCTTTATCCTTTACTTTATTTTATCATTTTGCTCCGGCACGATGTGTGATGGAAACGCGACGTCGAGAAGACGAACAACTGTGGACCATTCAGTGAGATCAACGGCTCTGATAAAGATGAAACCGTCGAAACGTTAGCCGAGAGTAGAATTATTTATCAACGTCGTGCAAGTTTATCAAAAAAGAATACTATCATTTAGTTCTGGTGGAAATTCTGATAGAAATTCTGGCTAGTTGTTTCCTCTGGTGAAAATACAATTCAGAAGAAAGGAAAAGAAAAATATTATATAAGCTTTAGAAAACCACAATAACGTCTCGGTTGACTAAGACAGCATGAATGTATCTTACAGAAGAAATATAAAGATTCTGAATGTTTCATCGCAGCTAATAAAATCAAGTATGAGCTGACACGTATTGATTCAAAGTTGAAGGTAGACATTGTTTCCGCTTCACTGCATGCATTGTATACAATACACCACAGGTGTTTTTTTATTGTTGGGGATACCACACCTCCACCTTTGGCTTAGAGCAGTTGAACTGCGCCCGCACAAAACTCTTAAACTATGTGATCTACAAAGTAGCTTTACAGAGTTCAACACCGCATTATCTATAGATAGCCGAAATGTTAACTAATTTTTTTGGTTAGAGGTCTTTGGAAATTGCTGTTCTCTACACTCAGTAATTCACAATAAACAGATTTTTGTACGACCTTTGTTCATTTGACGGCGGAAGCATTGATAAAAAGCCGCCTTACCAAGAAATACGATATATATGCTACCACAGAGAACTCTCTGTGTTGAAACGTTCTAGGATAAATCTAACGCAGATTCTTGTATCCCACAAAGTTTATTTAGAGGTGCATCGAAGATTACCAAGTTTGTCATGCTCGAGTGTAGTAAGATACAAAGAAATATGTTAAATGCTGACGTACCCTCAACATAGCACTGATAATACAGTGGCAATGAAGTCGTTTAACAGCCGTAAAATTCTGGTTTGATCCAGTCCCTTCCAAGGTCATCCAGGCCTCTCATACCTTCGAGATCGAAGAATTGCTAACAGGCGTGTCTGGTAAGCTGCCTCCCATCAGTAAAACTTAAAACACCTAAGGATCTTCTAGCACGGTTATTCGAGGATCCAGAGAGAATTGACAATACATACTATGCAGAGTACTCAGCGGCATTCGTTAAAAAAACCAAAAATCCTTCAATGGCAGCCAAATAACCTTCTTGTAAAATCGAAAGTATTCGTGAGTGATTAATTCGAGAAGGTAACGAATTAAATGGAAGAGCTGCTGGGATCCGCACAGTTAATGTGAAGATACCTCCCAACGGTTTACCGCGTCATCATTGTTGGGAGGTGTGCCTGGATGTTGGACTGCAATGTACACCGGAGGGATTCGTCATCCCGGCAGGGTCTCCCAAGCTGAGAAGGGCTCCGGCGTTTCCACCAAGAAGCCTAGCTAAGAGTAAACCAATACCAGGATCCTCCACCGCCCTGGCATCAAGGTTGCATGGTGGTAAATCTCCCTCTGATCCACAACGGCTGCGACTGCCTGTGGTGGTGAAGATCCAGGGCACACTTTGACCAGGCTTACCTCGAAATTTTAGGAAACCACAATGGCTTAACCAGCAAATCTCCGAAAAATAGTGAGTATGCTGGGGACGGCACAACCAGTGAGGACGGGCCGTTCAAGTATCAAATATCAAGTAATGTGAAAATGGGCCCTGTAATATGAAAAAATAAATGTGAAAATCCTTTCATCTATTTCACCTTTTCATTTACGAATTACCTCTTCAAAAGAGAAAGACAATAGGCAGATAGACGAATAGATCGCTTGCCATTAATGTCTATAATACTTCTACAAAACCGCGAAAACAATATCAAATGAACGTGTGTAACGTATTCTAGACGAAGAGCAGTTCTCACGAAACAAAAAACAGTTCTCATCAAGGACAAGCAGCTCAGTTCCA